TTAAAATTGAAACTATAAAACTAGGTTATGAAAATTTTCAAAGATGGCTTCTAGAAACTAATTTTTAGAATCCATTTTCCCAATTACTTTCCAGAAATAAAATTTTGTAAAGTTATAAAAAAATATGAATGATTGATGTGAAGAAGGAAAAGCAAGTGCAAAAGGAAGCCCTAGATATATAACCTAATTACAAGCTCACATGCATAACACAACATAACACTTATCTAAACAAATAAAAATGCACTTGCACATAATATCATGCATTCTTTGACTTACATGTTCATTTTCATATCCTTTCACTTCACCATCAACATGTGTGTTCATTGCATTTCCTTTCCCGTGTAATGCAATAATCTCGATGCTTTTTATATATGATTTCATATCAAATCAAAACTTTATTTAATAAGTTACACTAACATTCACCAATATTACACAATTTTTTATTTCATTTTCTCTTTCGTTAATTTTTTTAATTATTTTAAAAAATTATACTGATAATGTTACATATTATATCAATTTTCTTTATATTATTAAAACATTACAGGAGTAAACATGAATTGAAATTTAAAATATCGAATCCAAATTCAATAATAATTGGAGAAAAATCTTAATGGACTTTAATAAAAAAAAATATCATGATGAAACAATACTTGAAAAATCTAAATAATATATAATTTATTAGTTTGGGTTTAAAAGAAAAGAATTATATATGAAATCAATTCATTAAAATGAATTTAAGGTGATTTGATATTATTAGAAATTGATTTCAATAATTTGAATTTTTTTAAGCAATCCTCGTGTTCTCACCATTATTTAGGAGAGATAATACCTCTCTTTCTTCGTATCAGTATACAAGGATAGTTTTTTTTTCTTTCTTTTTTAAATTTAAAATATAAAAATAAAATTCTTTATGATTTTGCTTTAAAAATGAAAGTGGATGCTTCTCAGATAAGAAGTGTCGGTTCTCACAACTTTTTGTGCAGACATTTGTGTGAAGAATATAAGAACGGGATATTTTATTTTATATCGAAAAATCGTCTTTTGTCGCACACTTGGCAAATATCAAAATGTTTAATAATTGTGGTGAATGGGGGTGATTAATTAGGGTTCATGCGTGAGATGGATATAAATAATATTTTAATTAAAACAATGTGAGGATAGGATAAAGCATAAACCATGTGTGATTTCAGTGAGTGGAGACATACTCAGTGATGCCATTTTTATATGTTAAACAAATTTAGAAAATTTGGATAGTTTTTATTTGAAAAAATTTATATGTTATACAAGTTTATTTGGATAGTTTTTATATATAATTTTTATATTTTAGCCATATGTTTTATAATTTATTTTCTATATTTCAAATTTAATATTATAATATTGAATCATTATCAAATAACTTTTTTCATGTATTATAACGTAAATTTAATTTCTGATGATAAAAATAACAAATATATTCAAGCTTTTAGAATCAATGATTATAATATATAAAATTATATGTGATATGAAAAATAAACATTACTTTCTTTTTATCATCATAAAATTTAAAATTATTATTAAATAATAATCTTAAATATAATTTAAGTCAAGGAAATATTGTCTTTTCTTATTATACAAATATATTTGTTTTAAATCTTTCACATTTTTATCAAATGTGTTTTATCTTATTATTAAATATATTTAAAATTTATATTATTTTTAAGTAAATTATTCAATTAAGTAATATATTTAACATTTTTATTAATAAGATAGTCACTTATATTTTTTCTAATATTTACCATATTATGCATCTTTTTATGTTTAAGAATAATTATTAATCATTATATTGATAGATTATTACATATAACTTTTATTTTATTTTGTATGCAAATAATTATTACTGTCAAAACACATTATGAATACAATTATTTGGCATTATTTCAATTATGCAAAGATAGAAAAAAACAATAATAATTATTTTTATATATTACATATAATTTTAATGTATTATTATTAGTAATTCTAAAAATACAATTTTTTTAATACTTTTTATCTTCGTAGACAAAATCCGTATTTATGATAGTAAAAAATAAATTATTTTACAATAATTGAAAATTATATTATCAAACTTATAATATACAGAAAATAATTTGTATGTATATAAATTAATTATAATTATTTATAATAAAAAAATACTTACTAAATTTAAATTATTATGAAAAAATATAAATAATATATAATTATCATATTCATATTAAATAAGGAATATATTACTTTATTGAATAATGTACAACATAATCTAATTATCTTAATTTAAATTTTGTTCATCTTAATTACATTAATTAATATTTGTATTGTTAGTGTTAAATTAACCATAATTTATGATAAAGACTAAAAATAAACTACTGAAAAATGTAAGGGATATAAATTAACAAATGACACAATTATATTTGTATGAATTAAAAATCTATTTAAATATGATAATTGTTCAGGTGGAAAAACAAAAAATCGATTGAAGTTTATCGGTAGGTTAATTATGCACATTTTTTTTCATTTTTTACTTACTAAAACATCTTACAAGAATAAATTAAAAAAAAATGAAGTGTGAATTTTAAAAAAGATAATATTTTAATTGGATTTATCAATCTAATAATATTATAACTAAAATAAAAATATTACAGTATTACTTGTGAGAAGGAAAAATTTGAAGTCACTCTTACCATTAATTCCCAATTATGAACTTGTATAGTCAATTCAAAAACCTCACAATAATAAGTAGAGGTAGAATTCAGAGGATAACTTGTATATATCATTATATTAAATCTAATTATATTTAATCATTTGAAATATTAAAATCTAAATATTTGGGTAGTACTCCTCTAATGGTCCATGATCTAGAACATTTCTGAACACTATAACAATATCAATGTTTAGAGGGACGAAAGATTAAATAATATAAAAATGTGAGTAACATCCGGAACCATTATTTTTTAGAGTGGTCCATGATGCATTATTTTCCCACTTGCCCCTGTTAAAATCCACCCAGATAATGCATGTTTATTGACATTGTTTAAAGTTTAATGATAATCATTGAAAGTGAGGATGTAAAATTAATTAGAGAAGAAAGTCAACAACTTAATTTATTGTGCAGCCTCTGAATGAAACAAAAACAATTAGAAAAAAGCCGAAGTATGTGGATAAAAAAATAGTTAGAGAGAAGGGCATGAAAAAAAAATTATATTATTGGATAAATTTGTACTTGGACATTCTTTCAAATGATTAATCATATTGTGCTTATTTCACATAATTTATAATTTATGTGCATTAACATATGCTTATTTTATTAGTGCATTAAAATAAAAGAAATATTGGATTCTTAGTTGGAATATGTATAACGGATACCCTAAGTTTTTTTTTTTTTTTAGTTTTTGACCCAAAATTTTGGTAATGTTATTTATTTGGATTTTATTTTGACTTTATGTGAGTTTCGTAATGCATGGGACAAGGTCACTTATTTGTTAAAATAATATATTGAAAATATTATATATAATTGATTATAGAATTAAAATGCTTAAATATGTTTTAATTTCTCGCTAATTGTTATTTTAATTCTTACAGAAATAGGAGAAATTAGTCTTCAAATTTTGCATCCCCACTTATCAAAGTAATTTCATTTGTAGAGAATAAAAGTTATACTCCCTTATACAAATATAAGCCAGCAAATGAAGAACATAATTTTCATACTTATTGGCTAGAGAAAAAAATTCCCATCTATTGAGAATTAATTTGGTAAGAGTTTATAAAAATAAATAAATAAAATTAACATGTCTAATTATACCTATTTTATTTTACATTAATTTAGCAGTTGGTTACATGTCATGACACATAAGCAACAACATAAATAGATAGAAAGAGACCAATACCATTTTTTAGAACTAAATTTTACATATTAATTTTCAAAAAACTAAAAAAATAATTATGTTAAATTAGAATGATTTATATAAACTTATTGACTTTATTTTTTTATTAACTTTTCAGTTGAATTTTGCCGATCAAATATTTTTTTTTTCATCTGGTATGTGTAGTCAAATTATAAGTATTAATGTTGGTATTATTATTATATATTTTACTCAACATTGACGCGTTTAATTATATTTATTTTTAAAAATAATTATAGAAAAGCAAATACAGAGGGAGAAGTTTTCTTTAAGTTTTCGGTTAATTTTGTTTATTTTGAGTCGTTCAGTCACTAATATTAAAAATAAGGTGAAATGGGTTGAATGAATTACATATTCTAATTTATCTTGTTACTGCCGAATCAGTTTATTAATAATTTTTTTTATATATTTATACGTATTTTTTTAAAATATATTTTTAATTATACGAGTTATTTTTAAATTTTGGCTAAGAAATAAAATAATGCTTAATATTTTTTTTTCATTTTTCAGTTGTCAAAATAAATTAAAATAAAATTCTTAAAAATAATTTCAATAATATCTCACAATCACTTTTTATTTCAAATAAATTTCAGTATATTATCGTTAAAATATAATTTAATTCATCTTTATAATAAAAAATACAATTTAGTTCCTATATATAAAAATTAAATTGTATTTTAATGATAACGTGTAGAAATCTATTTCAAATAAAAGATGAATCTGAAAATTAAAAATGACTTAAAAATTTTATTTATTTATTAATATTGAAGGATTAATTAAAAAAACTATACTCTTTAAAAAAAAATTTGAGCTTATGCATAATATTTCTTTTACTCACTAACGAGTTTATAAAATTTTTCTCTGAACTTCGTTTTAATTTTGAACATTTTTTTTTCTAAAATTTATCACTTGTTAAGCATTAGATTCACACAAGAGGCTACGACAAGCGTGTCCCTGAGGGAATGCAACTATGTATTGTTAAGGCTTGACTTTTTATATTTATTTTCTTTTATTTTATTTATGTCTGTTGTGCTATTTTTAATTTATAATGCCAAATATAGTAATTGCATCGCGACCTTAACTTGATCATCCTAAGTTAAAAATACTCCAAACATTATCCTCAGAAACTGAAATCCTCAGAAGATCAATCAACCAATAAGACCAAAGATAAATAGGAAAAGAACATTCAAAGAAGAGATGGACAGTAGATTCCTCTTTAGTACAACAATGACAACACAAGAGAGTGATGAAACTCACTTGCTTTCTCTATATATCATCAATAGGAACATACCAAAGATCAATCTCCATGCAAGAAAAGATGCAGAAGGTGGTATGGAATTGTGGCAAATGTTTCCACCATCCAACACTAGAAGAGACACCTTAACAGAACATGGTAGGGGATAGCAACAACTCAAGCAAAAGAAAAACTAAGTGAGTATTTTTGTTCACCTCTATAACATCAAAGGATGGGATAAGGTCCCACCAGAAGAAATCAGCAAAACTTGGGGCAACAGAGGCAAGCATATATGCACAAAAGTTGCCTTCTCTGCAAATATGACCCACTACAAAATTCATTATCTTTGCCTTTTCTATAAAGTTTCACCATGTATTCCTAAGGACCAAGGAATCAAGAAATTACAATCTGATTGAGACTAATAGGAATAACAACTTTTTTGTTTTGTTTCAGCAGCTAAGGATGAAAAGTTATCCTGTATAGAATCGAGATAAACCAGTTATGCTGCTAATAAACTATGGAATTGATACGGTCAAAGGAAATTGGGTTGGATTCCAAAAACAGAGACCACCTTCCTAGAAATCCACAAATCAATCTAGAAATTCACATTCTTTCCATCACAACTTGCCACCTAGAGTTCTCAATAACCAATTGCGTATAGAATTCTTATAAGTAGAAGATATGATTCCCATCCAAGAATATTGACTCAATAATATGATATAGGAAGAAATTCCCGTCCAAGTTTAGCCTGGAAGTTTGGTTAATGGCAGGAAAATATCTCAGGCCAACACCCCACAAGCTTCAACCTCCTTATTAGATCACTACTACACTTGAAATCTATACGTGTGCATATTTGTATATGAAGAGACAAAAAATACACGATCCGTAAGAAGCTAGTTTCTTTGATCTTATTAACAATAGGAAGTAAAAACAGGAAGTTGACCATAACATGGATTCCAATATATTTTGATTTTTTTTGTTTTAGATTCGATAAATTCAATTTTTTTAGTACACAACTCCGGCATTTGTCTTTTCCTCTCCAATTATCACTTGTTTATTTCTATTTCAGGAGATGGCATATACCACTTGTCTATTTGGAAAGTAAAAATAATTAGCATTAGTTTATCATATGATTATTCCAACAACTACAAAAGACCAATGTATCATAGAGTTGTCTTGTAAACGAGATTGCATAAGACGAAAGTGGGGAATCAACATTAATTCGTTATCTTAAACTAGAACAAAAAAAAGGTATACCAATTAACCAATCCCTTGTGTGGAGAATATGCATTAATAATTTCTCATGAACTGAAACATAGTTGTTTGTTTCATCTAATTTTCTTCCCTCGGACTCGTCCAATTCTACCTCACACAAATCAAAGGTAGTCACAACAACTCATAACCCCCAACTCTCTTATGTCTTTCTCTCCTTTTGTCGTTCTTACTTTTTCATTTGTTTCTATTGCTGATTGTCTGGAAAGTTGCATGAACAGTCCAAAGTTGCTGTCACTTTCTCTACCTCACTATTTCCATTTGGCCACAACCATCGTTCACTGCAGATGAATTATTTCTAGGAATATTAACTCATTGTATCATCATTAATTAAAATTTATGAAGTTATAAAACCAGAACTAGAACTTATAAAATAAAAAAGTGAAATTCATCAACTTTATATTTTCTAATAAATAAATACAATTAATAATAAATTGAAAGAAGCATACAAAAGGGTGTCATTATATTGTGAAGATTGACAAAAAAAAAGGAGCATACATGATTTTGCTTTTGTCATATATGTTCAATTTGAATGTTTACTTGTCAGATGAGATAACTATAAATTCTTTTACAAATATTCTGAGCTCCAAGACTTAGGCTCATTCCTTCTATATTTTTGTAAAAGGGTTTATTAATATATTTTTTTTTTTACTTTTATCATCTTGAAAAATTGACAGGTTTATTTTTAATTTTTTTTTGTTGGGTCCTTAAATTAATTTTTTAATTAAGTCCCAATTTTTATAATCAGATCTATTAGTAAAATCTTGTGTACAAGTGTTAAATTTCTATAAATAAAAACAAACTATTATTTAATTTTATTTTTACCATTACTTTAACGAAGAATGCCAAAAAAGGAAGTCAAAATCTTACACAGTGAAACTTACCGGTTAGAAAACAACAGGAAAAAAAGAGAAAAAGAAAAAGATCAGTGTTTTGCATAATTTTTTCTTGAGTAAAGGTAATTGCTTCCTATTGATCCAGCTTGTGTCTCCTACTCCACATCTAGAGCTCGTTGAATTGGAGTTGGTGAGCCACTTTTTCACTCCCCCAACAAGTTCTTTCTCTTCTCAGAGACAAACACCAAACATGGGTCTTGCACCTTCTCTGCCCATTTTCTTGGAGGCCTATCCGCAGCTTTGAGAATCTAAGGGATTTAAGATTTACATAACTATGTGTGTTAGGTGAGGTTTCTCTCTATTTTTTTTTTTTTTGTTCTTTTTTTGTAAATGTGAAAGCTTTGTATGTTATTTTTATTTTCTCTCACAGAAAACAACAAAAGTCCTTGAATTGACATTAATTTCTTTTCAACCCCTTTGAGGGTCAAGTTGCTTTGAGGTTGAGGTGACGTTCATGTCCATAGTCTTTCAGAATATCTTCCAATATCCATCTCTTTTTTTTTTTTTTTCAATTTTTTGCAATCTTTTAAGTTAATGCATTTATTCTTTTGGCTTCCTCTGGGAACCCAATTCTTATTTCCCTCCTGGTGTTTTTGATTGACCCCTTTATCCTGTTTTGGTTCTTAAGTCAAAGTCTTCGTCAGCTTGTGGTGATAACACTAGGGGATTCAAGTTCTGATTCCTGTGTGAGTGAGTGCCTTACAGGTTTGGCTTTGGCATCTTAAAAGGGACCTAAAGCATCATAGTTTGTGGGAGCAACTAACTGTTGGTTATGGATTGGGACGGGAAAGAGTTTTCCTGGGATCCACGTGGGCTGGAGCTGGCTAATGGTGAAGGGCAGATTGAAGATGCTTCAGTGGATTTGAGGCTTGGTGAAGAAAAGTCAGTCCCAGATGTTGCTAAGGACTCAAGAGACTCAAAAACTGTGTCTTCACCATGTGGGTCATCAAAAAGATCCCGCCTTCAGAATGGATCACAGAATATGTGTTGTTCTGTTGATGGATGCAACTCTGACCTCAGTGATTGCAGAGAGTATCATAGGCGCCATAGGGTCTGTGAAAAGCACTCCAAAACCCCAGTTGTGTTGGTGGGGGGGAAACAACAACGGTTCTGCCAGCAATGCAGCAGGTATGGTTTGGAGTTTGGTTATGTGGGCGTTGGAGTTTTGGGGCTTGGAATTTGTTCCATTCTATTGTATGATTAGATGTGCTTTGTAACATGGGGTGGTGCCAATTGTTGTTGTGTAGGTTTCACTCACTTGGGGAGTTTGATGAGGTTAAGAGGAGTTGTAGGAAAAGGCTTGATGGGCATAACAGGCGCAGGAGAAAACCTCAGCCTCCCTCTCTTTTCATGGCTGCTGAGAAATTCATGTACAATTACAAAGGTTTGTGCCAAGATGGCCTTCTGTCTATTATTGTTAAACTGGATCTCAGTTGTGTGATTGAGTTAGTATGAAATAATGAAAGGATAGTCCCCCCAATTGGAAAGAAACAAGAGAGCCCTGTCACCAAACTATAACCCTTTAGTTTTAAGCTGCTTTGTGATACGAAGCTATGTGAAACTAGAATTAGAACTTTGCTTAAGTTTATTTCAAATTTTCATAATATCCTGAATTCCATGCTAAGAGAATTAGCCAATACTATTTGGATTGTTGTCAATATAAAGCTAAGTGATTATCAATATTTGACTTTTACAAGAAACTTAGTGTTGGAATATGACATTTAGGTTATACATGGTTCTCATGGAGTTCAATTGTTCGTTAAGTTTGTTGGAGGAAAAAAAATAAGTAGAAGAGGATTTCTATTTAATCTTTATGAGAGTTCAGACCTTTGTTCTATAGTTACCGTTGGGCTATCAGTCTATTTCTTCCACTGCAACATTTAATGTTTGAGCTATACTTTAAGAAACTAAATGCTAAGGGACATAAAGCATCATAGGAAACATTTCATAACACAATAACTCACTCCTAATTCTAAATTATGTGTAGTATATACAAAAACTTTTTTGTTTTTTATTAAAGAAAAAGGCTAACTAGTTCCTCGCAAGCATTAGTTAAGGAATTGGAAATTTAATGTTAAAAAGCAAGTAGGAGGATTAGTAGAAGAATGCTGTAGGAAGATTTAGAATTGAACAAAACTAAGGTCTTAGGTTAGAACATAAAACTTCATGCAAATTACCTAACTCACTAGGCTGACTGAAGTGAGTTACCAAAAGTGTCTATAGAAATGCATTTATATTTTGTCCTTTAGAATTATTCATTATTGATTCCTTAATTAGTGTCTTACGAGTACTCCTTAACTAGACCCTAAATTAAATTAAGAGAAATGTTATACCCGCCTACTATCTTGGAAAGAAAGTATTAAATGAAAATGTAAATGCATTTAATATTTTGGAAATATAAGTCAAATTCAATGTTTACAGAGAAGGAAGTAGAAGGATATAAAACTGTTCTTAAATCATCGGTTTCAGACTGATTTTAAAATACAAAAAGTGAACTTTCTAGTGAAAATGTTCGTCTATTACATTTGAAAGGAGATGATTGTTTGACAATCCAAACAACTACTCAAAATAACACTGCATATTGTTATATATTATTATTTCGAGTTGTCTAGTGGTTGTTTGGTTCTCAAGCAATACTTTTGCATTTCTTGTCATTTATTTTACGTTATAACAGTTTCTTGTCATTATTTCCTATCTTCGACTAGTGTAATTAATACGAATTTTTCTGCCTTTCTGCAACTTAGGACCTAGAATCCTGCACTTTGGCAGCCCTGAGACATATGCCAACCCTATTATGAGGAGTATGTGGTCTGCCACTGCCAAAGCTGGAGCTGAATCTGGTTATGATCCACCTCGACTTTTATACAGAATTGACAAGCACAAGCAAGATAAGGGACATCCTCTTTGGCAAGAAAGTGACCCTAAAGTAGGCCATTTAAATGAAGCAATGCTTGGAACTCCCATTTGTCAGCCTATTCATGGCACCATTACCCCATCAACCGGTGGAAAGAGCAGTCGAAAGCTGTCTTCAGATGCTAAACCTGGATCCTTTGACTCAGGTTGTGCTCTCTATCTTCTGTCAACACTTCAATCACAAAGTCCAGAGTCGAGTATGGTGCAATCTAGCATCTCCTGTCCAATGCAATCTCCATCTGGATCTGTGCATTTTGATGCTGTGAATGAGTATGCGTACTCAGAAACGGAAAAAGATAAGCCTAGTGGTCAAGTATTGGTTCTTGATGCAAACACAACAAACCTTCATTACAACGGAATGCTGCAAATGGGGCTTGATGGGTTGGTTGACAATGACGACCCGCTGACACTTCCCTTCTTGTGGGAGTAGGTAGTTAGATGGTTGTCTTTTGGGAAATTTATGGATTCAAAACCTTCCTTGTGTGTACTCCAATGAGTAAAGCTTGAACTTGTAGAAGTTTTCAATAAGGGTCCTCTGTTGCTGTTAATCTAATTGTGGTTTCACAGTTGATTCTGCTGCTGAGGATGAAATGGATTGTATGCCGTTATCTATGTTCATTCACTTGTCATCAGATTAGTTTGAACAGTTCTTAAGTTGTTTTCTTTGATGGAAGATTTTGAATTTTATTGAGATTTTGGTTCATGATAGATAAATGTCCTAATTGATATACTAAAGAACTCAATCTAGAGGGAATGAAATGTCTTGGCCATTGTATTAGGCATAGCTTGGTGATTATTGACCCAATGAAGTAATATGCACGATAAAATCAACCAAGTTGAAGTAGGGTCAACACCTTTTTGAATTGGGTGGATGAAAGGTGGCAGATGGTGTCCACTTTTGGAAAGAAATCAGAACCAAATGGCCATTATAAGATGGCCTTGTCCCCTTAAATGATGAGGTTTGAAGAAAAGTTAGTGGGAACACTGTATATCCAATAACTACGGTGTTTTAGATTAAGAAAATACTTCCTACACTCTGTCTATCAGAAGTGCCTTTGAATCATCCCACATTATTCTTTAAAGTCACTCTAATATTTCCATAGTATGTGTTATTTTTCCATGATGTTGCAAGCTAGGACAAGGACCAACAGCTAGAAAATCGTTGATTTGACATCTTTCACTCTCATGCCTGTCTGAATTTGTGATGTTTCATTTTTCATCACAAATGTGGCCAGCAATCATTGTTGCCGGGAGCAGGATCTGCATTAGCTGTTGTAGCTTTCAGCAATATTAGATTATAAATAATTAGTAGTTGTCTAAGAGAAAAATATCATCATTAACTGTAACACTCTAAGCTTGTTTTATACTCTTTAGTGTTTGCTTCAACATATCAAAAGTATTTTTAGCAAAGTGAATTGATCACCTTCTTATTTTTAGGATGATTTATGAAAGATAATTTTTTCTTTTGAAAGTACTAAATGCCAACCAACCATGTTTGTGGAAATAATATACTCAGGTACAATTTCTGAACATGCTATAAATGTAATATTATACGTTGAAAGTTACACGCCATTTATTTTGGTATTATTAGGAACCATTAGAATAAACATTGACATTTGTCTTTGATTTTGTCGCAGTAAAAATATGAAAGGAACTATTTGTCTTCTTCTGTTTGTTTCTTCTTTTTATTGAAACTGGTTGGTTCTCTATTCAGGGGGCTGAGAGTGACCCCATCAGTATATATTGCAAATTTCAGTCAATTTGGTCAAATTAACACAAGTGTTATTAATTTATGTCAACTTTTCTTTATATATATTGATAGAGATTTGTTCTTAGTTTACCACGTCACAATAGCCACAAACAAAAAAAATGATAAATTTACAGTTTTTTTTTTAAATAGTTAATTTTTTATCAGGATCAAAACAGTTTAATCACTTTTAGTTTGCTTGAACAAAAAATATTTACTTTCTAAGATCCCTACAAAGTGGTGGTGAGTTTTTTTTTATTTAATTACTTTGTTTAAAACAAAATAAGTTTAATAAAATGAAGTAGAAATTAATTTTTATTAACTTTGAAACACTTTTATTTTTATTGTCAAAATAAAATAAAATTGTGAATTATGTTGGTAGAATTATAAAAAGATAGAGTTATTATCATCTTTGATATTTATAATAGTTTTCTTATTATTGTAACTTGAACTACTAATATCAAATCAACATTGTCCTTGTGTATAACAACACTATTCTATTTTTATTGTTGCACAAACATGTTTTCAAATTTATTTCGATAGGATGGGAAATTTTTTAATGAATTTATTTCAAAACTAAAAATTAGAAGAAAAAGCCTAATTTTTTATATTAGAAGTAACCTTAAACTTAAAACTAATTTTTAAAAACGAAAAAATTAATTACAATTATTTATATCGATATAATCAAACCATTAACTGATGAATGCAACATAAAAATTAAACTACAAGATCCTTGTTGGGTCAATGACGCCACAATAAATAAGTGTGAATAATTGAAAGCATATTCTCATTCATTCCCATTTGGGTATTTCATCAAGATTTTGACTAATTATGGGTTTTCGTTTTGTTATAACCTCCATGCTTGGAGATTGGACCATTTTTCTATATGTGAACCGTTTCAGAAAAAAAAAAAACATTAAGACTTATTCCATATGTGAAAAGTCCAAATTAATTAGGAATAAAGGTGATTTCTCTTTTTACTTTATCGAGATATTATTTAAAAATATAGTTGTGATAAACTAGAATTCTAAAACAAACAATATAATAAATCCTAGTGAACATAAGATTTGAAATACGTTAACATATAAAATAATTTTAATATAAAATAATTCTAATAATATTATTATAACAAATATAATATTAGAATATCTCATGCATAAAAATTTAACTATAATGATATTATTATAACGATCATGAATTTGATAGCATGTAAATTGATATTTATATATTATGACACGAGTGGGTTTAAAATAATAAAACTCAATCCTAAGTTGAAGGGACATAATCTTGTTGAAGTTACAAACGAACATTAATATGTGACACTGTTTTTTAGAAGAAAATGATTTGAAGCATGAGAGGGAGACAATACTGAAAAAAAAAAAATTCATACCTAACATAAAACCGTTTATAATTGCAAATTGTTGTGGAAACAGAGTCTCCAATTGAGAAATGTTGAAAACATCAGAGATTCGCAGGAAAAATATAAAAAAGCAAATCCATGCCAATGAGGGGCAACCCACGTGGCATAATGGTGGGAGTTGCGATCTCCAACTCACACTCTTTCCCTTTCCCTATGAACAAATCCAATTCTCAATCCTTATACTATTCGTAGTCCATGAGGCAATAAATAATAACCCTAAACCCATTTTACAAGTCAACAAGACATAAATTCAGTAGATGGTCTTCAATTTTTTAATCAGGTGTATGACTTTCCATTTGAGCCCACAAATAATTTCAATTATTTTTTTCAAAAACACAATCTTTTTTAATATAAATATAAATAGAATGAAGTAGACATCTCACTAAAATCTTGATAGATTAAATGATGACTTTTGAGATAAACTTAAAAATTGATTAATTTAAGTTACATCAATCTAATTAAATGATACTAATCTTGACTATTATCCAAACTTTTTCTTTAAAGAGTTAAATTTTGTTTATTCTATGTGTAAGTTCAAAGACTAACATCAAATTTCAATCATTAATTTTATTAATAATTCACTTGAGCCTGTTTACATATATATTTTATGTATTTAAATTACAGAAAAAACTTATTGTGTCCTACACCACATTGACTCAGGTCTGTTGGGATAAATTTTTCGAGAAAAAATAAAATAAAATTTTATTCTTCATAAAATCAATTTTAGAAATTATTTCATCTAGCTTCTCTAAATTCATATTTTTAATTAGTGATGAACTAATTTTAATTTATAGAAAAATAATTTTATTTTTTCTTATATTTATTTCCTAAAAGTATTTCTAGATAAACTTCTCTAAAGATATCTTACAATTAGTATAAAAATTGATCAAAACCGAATATTTTTTAATTTTTTAAATTGATAGATTTGATTTGATTTTCTGTTTGAAATGGAAAACCAATCTAAACCAAAATTTTAATATGTACTGCTAAAATTTAAATATAAAATAACATTTACTGTAAATAAACCAATTAATTTTTTATAATTTAAAACATATATTATTATTTTTTAAATTAAATTAAAAAATTAAAACTTTGAAAAATGATAATTATTTATATATGATATTTTTATATTATGTTTCTTTTTTAAGAAATTATTTTATTATATTATATTATATTTAATAATTTTATAATAAAAAAATCATAAAAATCATTCAAACTAAACTATAAAATATTAATTTAATTCAATCTCAACCAAATCATATGGCATTTAAATTTTATGTGATTTGAATAATTTTTTAATACAAAATCGAATGAAAGCATAACCCGATCACGTCTAGTTAGAGGTTTAAACGTAACCCAAAACCTGAACAGGATAAGAAGTTGGAAGTGTTCAATTGGATTGAGGCATCCTGAAAACTGACCCAAGCTCAATGGTCCAGTGATTTCAGATGGCCAGTGATTTCAGATCAGACCAAACCAGTTAGTTCAACATTTGTTGGTGGTTGGTTTGAGCACACGTCCGGGGGGTTGAACCATATCACACTATAAGCGCTTCTAAATCATAGCAAAAGAAAAATAAAGGAAAAAAATAAGGGTTGATATAGATATATGACTCAGAAACAGAACTTTTCCTAAAACGATATAAGGTTTCAGTTAAAATACAAATCACTTCCAATGTCAACATTTTAAATCCCAAGAAGTTACAGCTAGATGGTTTTTCAGCAGTAAAATGGAAAAAAGTGGAATGAGGAATAACCAAAATTGTCATATATCATTATTATATATACGGATACAAGGTTCATTCAAGATTAATATGAACAAACAGTGATGAAGATTTTAGTAAAGACATAAAAACATGTATCCAATCAAAGACCGAAAGAGAAACACAAAAGCACAAAATTACTGCACTGACGACCCCATCACCTGCATAATCATTAATGTTTGTCCTCCTTATGCATGTCTTTGGGAGGAACCTTTGATTCAAGTTCCTTGGGAGTGGCCTTCTCCATTGACCTGAAAAGATGGTACAACATTATGTTACAATATAAGCATTGTGACACTCTTACTAGTACAACAACATCATTACTTTCAATAATCCTAGTGGGAATAAATGTCAATCAGCACAAACATCTCAGTCAGTTTAGAATTCCATTTTCATTTTTATATAATAAAGGCACATTTCTACAGTTTCAGAAGCCGATAGATATCATGTCCTATGGGCCCACTGGCCCATTTCAACTAATCAATTGATCAGTGCATTGATTATACCCACTTTATGAAGGATTTACTATCTGTCGGAGGCAACTCTCAGTTATGTTGGTCAAGGATAGCTTTGCCCATGGTGACCATTATCCCAAATATAATACAAGTACTTGATCAAAATGCGCATAAATAATCATGTGACTGTGCAATCCTTCCAATGCATTGACTCAACCCTTATTCTCATTCCATTACACATGAAATTTCTCTTAACATATTAAAAATGGTCAGACATGGCAGTCTCAACATCCACATATTTTTATCATCTTACCACGAATCAATGACTCATTCAAGCAAATAATGCTTATGGGATTAAACAGAATCATTCAATACACGTTCTTTCTTTAATATTTAAACATCATATTATAGCAAGTACCATATATATTATTAGTACTATTACTGTATATAATTAAGGTGTTAGTTTGGGGTCTATTATTACATACCCTACAACTTAAAATAATAAAGACACATACTATGGTCATTTTTCTCATTTTAGCCTATTCATGGTATTTGGGGTTTTAAAAGAAAGGGTTATCATTTGTTGGAGATTTCACATCAATTGAAGAAATTATCAAATTATAGCATAAGTAGATTCAAATCTTATCTTATAAGCCAATTTTATAGGGTTGAGTTAGGTTCAAATCCACTTTCTAAAATGGTATCAAAGTGATGCTCTCGAGATGTACAACCCTCAAGTATAAGAGGTTGTGTTGGACATCTCACATCAGCTAGATAGCGTATGCTCAAGTCATTGTCTTCCATTTTTAGGCTAACATGTATACACCACAATCAACTAGAGGGTCCTAACACCGATTTGGAATCCCATACATTATTTCAGCAACAAATCAAGACCAGTCCTGTAGAGGTAAAGCGGGAAGATTCACATAAAATTTGTAAAATTTTCATAAGGAAGTAACTCTAAAGAGTACACAAGCAAATCAAGCTCCAAACTTTCCCTCAAATCTGTGCACTGTATCCCATGAGCTTCACATATAGAAAATATAATGGATTTTCTATATTCAAGTCCCATATCCTAACTAAAAGACACAGCAGAGAAAAATAGAAACTCATGCAATCATCTTTAAGTTAAAGCTTTTAAGAACCTTTAAGGAACTTAAAGCCCAGGAAATTTTCACATAACCCTAGAAATTTACTCAACAACAAAAACTGAGACATGAGAGAATGAAGAATATCCTCTCCCTACCTCCTCTTCTCCACACCAGACCAAGATTGTGCTGATACATAAAGCTTGAATATCCTTCTTTCTTAAAATGCTTCAGTTTTACTGTTTTTGGGTATGGGCTTTATGGTCTCAAAAGATCAGAAGGTTACCTACGTCTAATATGCATGTGAGTTGATGAAGAGGCTGCATGGGTCACAACTTGGCCAACTTTCTCTCTAGTTAAACTCTGATACAATTCTCTCAAGGGTCCTTTATTTTCCTATTAATCAGTTTAATCCCTCAAAATCACTAAATTTTATTATAAACTCTGCAGCTATTCTTTTATTAAAGCGATGTTTTATGAAATTTTTTACTTAATTCTCTAAGGAGTTCAAAAATTGCCAAAAAATGCGGAGATATATTTTCCAACTTTATTTATATCAGTAGTATCATTCTAATTATTCAAATTATTACCATCACCATCACTACCAAGAAGAAATAATCAAACCACTTAGTTTACATGCTAATCCTAACATACTTAAAATAAGGTATCAACTAATTTCTTAATCTTATTGACCAACCATGCTTTGATATGAAGACTAGTTAAAGAATGCAAGAATGTCAGTATGTCACAGGCATCACCTGCATCAACATTGATATTAGGGTGAAAGAAGTGGAAGAAAAGGACATGTAATATATCACAATCAAATGATCCATTAATGGACCAAGCTATCATGATATAGCCAATTCACAGCTCAAAACACCTCAAGAGTCCAATTTAAGGCTAAGAATTCATACAGTGGCATCAAACTAAAAAGACAGTGCAGTTCCAGCCTGATCCTCATGCACTCCTAGTTCCAGCACCATTCATTACCATTAAATATCCAACTATTTAGTCAATGAAAGTATTAAACGCCCCCCACACCACTTCGCCCAAAATAATAAAAAAATAATACAGATTAACAAAAAAACACCTTTTTTCTTGGTGTAACAAGTTGATTATAAATAGTCGCCCCAAAGGTAATCTCAAAGCTTGATATCACTCGTTGGAATATGATGGAAAGGAAGAATGAATATCTAAATACATAAATAACTTGGCACAAAAATGTAAAACATTCAAAATGTAACATTGCAGAATATTCTCACAAAAGAGAGAACAAGGAATCCAACCAAAGTCATCAAATTATTATCTGAAAACATTCAAAGCTTGCATTTTCTTTTTAAGATCAACTCAAACCCGAAGATGATACAGACAACAGTGCTTGCTACTACTAATATCCCTAACTGATCAGCTCAATAAATCTAAGTAAAGGATTTAGCAAGTTAGCATCATTTCTCATGAACTCTTTTATTTGAAAAATTGGATGGATCCAACCAATTGTAGTTGTTTTGTTTTCCTTCCAATAAAGGAGGGAAGGTTGCATGATTTAGAGGATTATTCCACAAAAATTAGAAATTCATTATTGTTGGATATATATAGAGTCATCAGTGGATGTAGCCCAGTAGGCCTGCACCTTGTTAGTCTGTGCCTTCACAGGGCCTACATATATCTGTTGTTAGTCTGTTCAGATTGATAGTTAGGAAGGCTGTGTCACATCAGTCATAAATGATTGAAACTGAATGAAAGAAAATATAAATGTTGTACCCACGTGTTATCCCATTTGAATAATAATTCCAGAGTTCCATTTTCTATTAAATTCTCTCTCTCTATCAATACGCATTGCATAATGGATTCTAGCGATTGATAAATCTCCATCAGTTAAAGATTAATCATAAGAGCACCTAATTTAAGCTAATAATACCCCCTTTGCAAATTACAACGAATAAAAGGGGAAAACATACTGAAAAGTTAGAATACCATCGCCAACTTGGCCAAGTAACAATCGAAGAGAAACAGAGGATCTTTCATTACTTTCACCATTCTCCTTTCTTATATTTCATCATGATTTATTGATAAAATAATAGAAGTACTCTGAGTCTCACATCTTACTTTCTTGAAATTAGTAACAACTAAATTAGGGCTGAGAGGTTAAATGCATTCCTACAGTCAGTGACTCATTCCAACATAAAAATATGTCCATATACCCAAAGCAACTTTTGGCAGCATATCAATCACAAGACTATAACATCCTGCATCCCTTACATGACTACCTTACACAATCAAGGTGAAACAAAATCTCACTTGTGTCTTCTCACCAACCTCTCAACTCAGAGAGAGAGAGGGAAGCTCAGAAAAAGATGAAGAACAAATTATCTAAAGCCCAACACCAGCTACATAAATCTATCCAACAATACAAACTTTCTAGTGCTACATAGTGTGCACTACAATCACTAGTTACAAACTCTAATCGCATGCAAGTAAAAAGAAATTCAGTGCTAAAATACAAGTGTTTTGCTCAGCGTTAACAGGTTAATAGTGCTCTCTGATAAGAATACAAATATGGATATGCAGTGCATCACTTTGCGAACTATGCAGCACAAGTGAGGTATACTTAGCTAGTACTCTAATAGGGTTCATAGTTTTTAATTTCAAAGGTTTATGAACAATTGGGTCTATTTGGATAAGTTTCTCTAGAAGATAGAAATAAGAAAAAAAAAAAAATTTAAATGTGCTTACTTTTATGCACAAGCTATATAAGAATTTAGGAAAATTAACGAAAAGCTTCAATAAATGATCTTACGTGTAAGCTAATTTTAGCTTATGGGAAAATTTATTCCATTCTTTCCTCTCTTAAAAGTGATTAGGACGAAGTTTGTGCAAACATATCCAAAGAATCACAATCAAAGATTTTTTTTTTTTTTTTCACGTGTATTCTCTTTCGGAGACAATCATGTTCAATTTCATTCAGACATCGGGGATTCGAACCTAATCTCACCAACGTTGGGAGTAACTGTCCCTTTTTACTAGACAACATCCCAGATTGGTTCATCATCTAAAATCATCATCACCATTGCAAAGCACAAATGGATATTCCCAGTTGCCATCAGTTCTATGATCACTCTCCTTGTTAACACACTAACCTCACCCCAAGGCTTACCATACTAACCCATATGCTTACATTATCCAAACCCAAACCCCTTGAATATTTCACTCGATGATTTGTGATGTCCAATATCAATTAAAATTTCACTCCTCCAAAACCCACCTTCCCATTCATTCTCCCTTACACAAGTGCCCGAAAAACTCAAACTTTAATTAAAACTAAGAAGAAGAAAGAGAGTAAAGGGACTCACTTGGAAGAAGTGGCGGTTTCTTCTTCAAGCCAGTTGCGAATCTGCTTCACGTTGCGGCGGAAGATGGAGGCAGATTGCTTGACGTCACTCCTGAGAAGAAGAACAACGGCGCTTACACCTGCCACGGTCAGCACAAAATTCGTCAACCCCATTCCTTCACTTCCAACTCAACTCAAGGGTTTTTTTTTCTGTTTGGGAAATCCGGGTGTCTTCAACTCTGTTTGTAATGTTTACACATTATATGCATTAAAACATATTAATTTAGTTTATACCGACTTATCGTTCTTTTCTTATTATTGTAAAATTATTTAAGGATCCACTCAAATGCAATTTACCCCAAATATTATACATAAATTATATTAAAAAAATTATATGAATAAAATATTATTTGATACTATTCTATTCATAATACATAAACATAAATATAAATAACTTTTTGTGTATCTATATGTCGTAGTGTATGTCTTAAAAATTGTTTAAGCGATTACTTGTTAGTAAATTTATATTAGGACAGAACTGAAATTATGTATTATGATAAAGTTATAAAAAAAATAAGTAAATAACATGTATTTTATTTGATATTTTTTATAAAATATGAACAATTTACTCTAAATATTATATCATTTAATTTTTTTTAATTAAGTTTGTTAAACAAAATTACAATTATTTTTTTACATAAATTATATAAAAAAATTTATATGAATAAAATATTATTTCATAACTTATTCATAATACATAAATATAAATATAAATAACTTTTAGTAACTAGTAATTATTTTGCACTAATCATACAAGTTATAGAGGGTCTTAAGTTTTTTATAGTTATATTTATTAAATCATATAAATTTTATTGAAGTTTTTAATAACATGATTATGTATTTTATTTATGAATATGAGAGAAATTTATGATAAAAAAACATGTATTTTTATTTGATATTTTTTTATAAAATATTAACAATTTTTTTTATTTTTTAAATAATTTTATGATTAAAATAATAAGTTAACTCTATAGATGAGGATTTTGAACGAAGCTAAATATTTTTTATCTTATAAAATTATTTAAATTTCCTTTTAAATGCAAAGTTGATTAAACAGTCCACAAAATAACATTAATAACTATATATATATGAACCGTGCAAGGAGTAAACACAACAACTGATAAAAATAAACATATAAGTACAATAGACGAAAAAAAAAATATTATACATAATCTTGTAAAAATAAATCTATGAAGTCCAAAACTAGTACTAGATCAACCTTGAACATCAATTGGTCCTAGTAATTGGTGAGAGAATGCAAGATCAACTAACATTAAAGATATCAACCAATAACAATGAAATCTCATAAATGATGCCAATGAGAATAGTTGATGTAAGGAGATTGTTGATCAACACATTTGATACTGAGAATAATTTATGTATAACAGTTTATACGATGAGATCATCTAATGTTGATAGTCGTTGATGATTAATAGCTCGTTGGATCATCTAATGTTTTTCTATTTGAAGATGAGCCAAGAAGGATGAAATGTTTTAAATTGGAGAAGGTAGGATGATGGACAAGATTTTTTGTTAGGTGCAAGTCTTTGTACAAAGAGTGATCATAAATATTACGGATGATTGATTTCAAATAAGTTATCACTAATACAAATTTTCTGATAATGGTTTAGACCCATGTTAGCATGTAAATAATCTAAAGATTATGTCATTAGACAATATAAATTAGATGACTCCTGATCATCATTAGATCATTTGTCTAATGTGATTTACAATTATAAATCCAAGTTGATAACAACTAAATGTCACGTAGGTCATTCCTGGTAGTTTGATCATAAGATTTTGTTTATTTTCTAATAAGGGTTTTGTAAGTACGTTAACAAGTTGATCTTTTCAAGTTACAAATTGTAAATATGTAGTTTCTTTTTGGACATCATCCATTTATGAAATGATGTTTATTTAAATTTTTTTTTATGGCTTATGAGTGTAATATGAGATTTCTAGATAGATTATTGACAACATTATTATCATAGATAATAAGAATATTACTCTTGATTGAGTGCATTAGTTAACAACTACTATATATTCAACTTAGCCATGTTATGATTCTATGATTCTTGTTAGCCCATGAAATTATATTTCCTCCTAATGACATCCTTCACTTGTGTTTTATATTTCCATTTTATCTCTTACATAGTCTGCATCATATTATCCTACTAACCTAAAAGATTCTTAAGTCTTAAAGCAAAGACCATAAACAATTCAATTTTATATTAAAAGATCCATTTAACAACAATTACATAAATCTCTCATGAATCCTACTAACCTAAAAGATTCTTAAGTCTTAAAGCAAAGACCATAAACAATTCAATTTTATATTAAAAGATCCATTTAACAACAATTACATAAATCTCTCATGAATCGGACAAAATGTGTACATAAAAGTATAAAGAACATGATAATTAGTATAAAGACAATAAGTGATGAACACAATTTATCATTGTTTTTATTAATATAATTTTTATATATTTAGTATATTTTTTTAATTAATTATTAATAATTAATTAATTATTAATAATTAATATAGTTTTATAAAAAAAATAAAAATACCTTAATATAAATTATTGCTTAAATTGTACATTTTTACTAATTATTTATTTTCTTTTGCAGGAATGATAAATTAAAGAAATTATAAAAGTCTGAAATAGTATAAATCTACTTAGCACCTCTGAATCAGCTTATCATTTAAATGCACCTCTGAATTCGTTATCATTTAAATGCTTTCATAGTTTAGATTTATTGTTTTCTTTTACATGCTTTACATGCTTACATTTACTATTTTTTATAGTATAAGTGAATCCGTTATCATTTAAATGCTTTCATAGTTTAGATTTATTGTTTTCTTTTACATGCTTACATTTACTATTTTTTATAGTATAAGTTTAATGTTTTCAATTTCCTCTAGATTCACGCCAAACAGTTTGATGAAATCTAGATGACAAAATTAACTTCATCAATAAGATATAGATGTGAACCTATAATTTATTTGTTTAGAATCCTCTTCTAAAACTAATTTGTGTTTTCATATTAAGATATTAAACTTTTTTAGAATCTCTTCCACATGTTATGTTTGATGTAAGATATTAAACTTTTTTAGATCGATAATTTTTATTTATTTACAACCTTCCTCTACCCCTCTATCTATTTATGTAGAGGTCACCCTCTCTTCTATATTATATTTTTATTATTTATTATATATTTTAGAAAAATTAAATTTTTAAAAGAAGGATTTGATCCTTATACTTTAGAATTGAAAACTGATATTTCAACCACCAAACTACTAGAATTTTCTAATAATAACTTACAAATAAATTATATTTATATAAATATATATCCGTGTAAATATATAAATATAAAATATAAAATATATAAATACAAATATATTTATATATTTTAATATATTTATATAATTATATATTTATATAATTATATATTTATATATTTATATGTTGGATGTGAGGACACGCTCGAAGGTGAAAGTGTGTGTCGAGTGAGTTTTCAAAATTTGAGGCCAAATTTGTGAGCGAATCTCTTTATATGAGTTTGTAAGTTAATAACAGAATATAATATTTATAATTTATTTATATAATGATATAAAATAAATTTAGGAAACACATCATTCATTCAAGTGTCACATTCGCTCAAGCAAAAAATATCAATTTTCGCTCAAGCGAGATATTTTCGCTTGAGCGATTGAATTTTCGTGAGCTTTAACGTATTTTCGCTCAAGCAAGAGTCAATCTCACTTTCACCTTCGAACGCGCTCTCACATCTAACATATAAATGTATATAAATATATCAAAATATATTTGTATTTATGTATTTTATATTTATATATTTACACGGATATACATTTATTTATATATAAATATAATTTATTTATAAGTTTTAATCGAGAAAATCTTAGTAGCTTAGTATTTGGAGTATCGGCCTTCAACTCTAAGGTATTAGGTTCAAATTCCGCCAGTGACAATTCTTTAATTTAAGCGAATTTTCGACTAAAAAAAATAAAAACATTTTCTATGTCGGTTCATCTGGGAACTGACGTAGAAAGTGTTTTCAACGTCTGTTCGTTTTAATCGACATTAAATGACGATGTGGAAAACATATTCTGTCAAACCCAAGAGTTTTTTCCAAATATACTCCTTCTTTAATGTTATCATTAGGGAATGCACTTTATATATATATATATATATATATATATATATATATATATATATATATATATATATATATTTGCTATAAATTCATTCTATTAATGATAATAAATATAAGCAAAATATGAATTGTCTAAAGTCTTACTATTGATGCTTAAGTTTTGTGTAGCCTAAACCTTCATGTTGTGAGTACCCTTTAACCACTAATTTAGCTTGGGTCTTCATAATGTTACCTTGCTCGTGTAATTTGTCTAGACCCATTTGACTCCTACAACATTCTTATTTTAGGTAGCCCTACAAGCTTCTAGACGTCACTCTTCTAGAATTGATCTAGTAGCTCTTCTTGAATACCCTTGATCCAATGTGCTTTGTCTAGTGCTCCATTAATTATCTTGGGATCAATGCTTAATGTGAAGGTTAGCATTTCATGCTAAAATTATAGTCTGGTCCTCACTTTGTCAATAGGATCCCCAAGAATAACATCAACCAAATGATATTTTATCAACTGATGGTGTCTACAAATGGGTTCTCTCTTCTTATTTGGTGTAACCTCGAACGAGTTTGGTGAACCCTTGGATGCATTTGGTGCATTTGTAATTGATACATTTTCTTTTTGTTAACCTGTGGATAAAAAAAGTTTCATCTAACTTTGATAAATCTTCATCAAGCTTATAGTAATTAAATCCTACATGAATAGTCTATTTGACACAAGATCTTCTAGAGTTGTAAGCTTTATAAGTTTTTTATGTCTTAAATTATCCAACAAAAAATCCTTCATCACTTTTGCTATCAAATTTGCCAAGTTTTTCTTTTATGTTTAATATGAAACATTGACAACCAAAAGGATGAAAATAACAAATATTAGACTTTCTATTCTTACATAATGTATATGAAGTCTTTTTAATGATTGACCTAATATAAATTATGTTTTATAAATAA